TTTTTACTATAGGTGTAGCTATCCATGAAATAAATATATGTATATTTAATGGACTAAAATACATGTAAGTTATGTATTTATATTATAAAAGTTTTATAATTTTTATTTTAGCGTGACATTAAAAACACATCAAGAGTACTTTTGGCATAACTTGCTTACCTAAAAACATAAATGAAGTAGCTTCTAAACTTTTTTGTCTATAATCTACAGAATGATACATGTTTTACATTGTGACCTAGTACATATCACTTACATTTGTRTATATTTATGTGGATAGCATGTATATAAAACTGAAAAATAGTTTCTCCAAACCATAGTCTCTTGTGTATGTGGTATACTTTGTCATTTTGTAGCCTACTTATTTATTTTCTTGAAATACATAATATCTTTATTTTATTTGTTTCTATTTTTATGTGGTRCTGGGATCAAACTTGAGTGCCTCAAGTATGCTAGGCAAGTGCTGCCACTGAGCMACAACCCCAGCCCCAAGCCTATTTATTTTTAAAATACTTGTCTCAGACTTAGTAAATTGTTCTTATGATCTAATAATACTGTGGCATACATGATTTGGAAAATATTACTCTGTCAGGAAGAGTGGGTAGACACCTGTAATCCTGGCTATTTGGGAGGCTGAGACAGAAGAATTTGCAAGTTTAAGGCCAGCCTGGGCAATTTAGTGAAGCCCTATCTTAATAAGTGAAAAGGGTCGGGGATGGAGCTTGGTGGTAGAGTGCTTGCTGAGCATACATGAGGCCCTGGATTTGATCCCCAACAYAGTGGGGAGAGGGGAAGGAAAAGAAGAAAAAAAGGAATGTTACTCTAAGATTAACATAAGAAAATTGATGAACTATAGAAGCATTARCTTTTCTATTATAATAAAGGTGCTTCAAAATAAAATAATATATTAAGATAGCATTTTTTAACACATGATTTGGTTATCTTCATTTGGGTTAATCTATTTCAAATATTTATTGTCTATAAATTAAATCCATGTCTGACTYATCCTGTCTCAGCCTCCCAAATAACCAGGATTACAGGTGTCTACCCACTATTCCTGACAGAGTAATGTTTTCCAAATCATGTATGCCACACTATTTAAAAATTGGATATTGATTTAAGTGTTTTAGAGAGTGAATGTTAGTTAATATAGAATTTCTTCTCTAAAGTCTGTTCTGACCATGATTTACCTAGAATCAAGGAGAGCTGTCAGGAAAGGAAAGGGCTCTTGGCTGGCTTAGACATTGACCGTTGCCCTGTCACAGTGCACYATATATGGGTCACCTTGATAAGACTCTTCTTCCTTCTGRCCCTTGGATTCCTCACCTATCAAATGAGGGTATTCACTATCTCATCTTGACAGCACGTTCATTTTGTGAAATATAGAATG